CTTGCAAGGCAAGTTTTTTATGTGGGCACCACATAATTAGCTTGTTCCACAAGCTACCAATATGTATGGCACTTGGTTAACTTGTTGACCAAGTTTCTAAGCTACCAATCAAGTATAAACACATGTAAAGTCAAAGCAACATCTATGAAGCTTCTAAGAAACTTGTCTAGAAGATATTAAGATATTAATCTATTTTTACCTACTTCTATCTATTCATATCACATAGATAACAATTACAGTAAATATATATTCATAATATTTATTTATAGAAGTATAGTGGTTACTAATGTGATCAAACCTTATGAATGTTTAATCAAATATAATATTATGGTTGATTCATATTTTGCATTGGAAGGGATCAAAAAAATTGTATGTTTTTATTGATTGTCATATCCTACAAATATGCACGTGATAGATTTTCTCTTAAATTTTGATCAGTTTTTCTTTAAGATGTGTAGATATGTTATTGAGCCAAATTGTTCTAGGATTATTTTACAATTAATTTAAGTAAAATTCAAGCTCACTAAATAATTAGTTGTATAGATGGCTTCAATTCAAAGGTATCAAAGTAATTGGCATGCAATTGACATTAAGTGTGCCCTTTTGAGTAGTGATATGTTTCAATATTCACTAATCTTGTTTTATTATAAGGTGTAAGCCATTGTGAGTTGTCTTATTATTCCATGATTAGTTAAGAAGCTATTGAATTTATTTGTCAAATATTCTCTTCTTCTATTAGTTCTCAAATTTCTTATTTGACTTTTTGTTTTTCTTTCTACTTGTGATCTAAATTCTTGAAACTTTCTAAATATTTTATCTTTAGTGTCCATGAAATAAATCCAATTTTTGTCGAAGTCATCATTTGCAAAGACAACAAAGTATCTTAATCATCCTAAAGAGGGTGTTTTCATGGATGCAACTAAATCAAAGTAGATAAGCTGAAATGTCTTTTCAATATGGTGTGGTGAGGTCTTTGGAATTTTTTTCTAGAATTGTTGTCCTACCAAGCAGTCTTTGCAAGTCTTTCAAATAGTATTAAATAGTAGTAATATTTTCACTTGATTAGCTCACAATAGATGTTGCAATCTGGTATAGTATCAGTATCTATATCTTTTGTACTACAATCTTACATTTTTTTTTCTATTATAATTAAGTTAGGTTTAGGTTCTATTATTTTTTGAAGAAATTGATAGAGTCCAATTTGTTGATTTCTACTACCTAAAACTATTATTTTTTTGTTATATTCATTGTCTAATATTAAGCATTGTTCTTTTGTGAATATGGCTACTTTGTTGATGTTTGTCAATAAATCTATTGATATCAAGTTATAAATCAATGTTGGCATGTATAAATATTATACAAGTTTATTGCTTCCAAATTTGAGGTTACATTGGTGGATCCAATGGCTTCAATCTTATAGAATTTGTTATCTATTGTTTTTATTGATTTATTAGAGGTTTCTTTATCTACCATCCAAAGATTTAAAATTTTCTTCTAAATTAGTTCTTAACTCCTAAATTAACATATTAATTTATGTTTTGATAGTCAACAAAGTTTGCTTTAGTTGTCTTATAAGCATATTTTCCAAAAGTATTTCTTTCTCCATAGTTGATATTAGTATTTTGATATTAGTTTTGTAAGAAGTTGTGAGCAATGTGATTTGGTTCTCGACACATATAGTAAACATATGGTCAAATTTTTCAATGTCATGCAAGTCCAAAACTACAAAGTCAAAGATAATTGTGCTTCTACACTTAAGTAATTTAATAGCCCTTATGGTTGAAATTGGTTAGCTATGTGGTCAGTCTTGGTCCTCCAAAGTATTGTGGCATTGCTTAGAAAAAACTTCTTTATCTTCAATCACCTCTTTGCTCAAAGTGATTTTGTCTACTCCCCTTGAAATAGATGCATTGGAGTAGTACTACCAATATTTCTTTGTTTCTTAGAATTTGTTCTTTTATTGTTATTCAATGAATTTTAGTCTACAACTTATCTATGATATCTTCAAATGTAGATTGATTCATATAGATAATGTCTTAGATCACTATTTAGTAGCTCCATAGTAGTTCATTCAGGATAATTTTTATAAATATCTTGTTAGTAACAGTTTTGCCAAAAGCCTTTAATTGATTCTTCATGTACATGTCTTTTGTAAGATAAGTGTTGATATTTCTTCTTTCTTTTATTGACATTCTTTTATCTCCTCTTTCTTTCTCCTATTTCTTTCTTTTGTTTGATAATAGCACAATCTATAGTTAGTCTTTTGCATTGAACATCTTTCTAAGCATGTCTCACATGTTTGTTGAATCACTAAATTGTGAAACTATTCCAATCAAACTATTTGTTATTGACATAGTAAGTCTTGATTTTACTCTTTGTTTTATTTCTGCTAATTGTGTCTTAGTATAGGATCTTCCTACTATAGGTACTAAAAATGAAGTTATTGACTTCTTTGTTTCTACAATGCTCCACATGTTCTCTTGCTTTAAGATTGTGGACATCTTAAGCTTCCAAAAATAGTAATTATAAGCTTCTAATAACTTGTCTGACTATGCTATGTCACAACTTGAGGTCGTCTCTAATTTTGAGGTCTTCTCTCTAATTTTTGCCACATCTCCAAGGTTTAACCCTTTAAGGAATCCTAATTGCTCTAATACCATATTCCTAATATATACTCAAGAGGTCATATTTTATTAGGGGACAAAACATTATGTACAAGTTGGAGTTTACTCGCCACAGAAAAGCCACATCAGGGTAACTTTCTTTTCACCTAATCCTAATGCCAAGATGGATGGGATGTTTGGTGGATGAACGAGGGTGCATGTTGAGTATCACCAACAAATTGGTCACCTGGTGTAAGTCAATTAGAGTGTCCACAGGCGTATGCATCAGCTAGCTGTTCTCAAATAGCTTTATTTACTGGAGTAGCCTCGCATCCTTTGAGTTCAGCACCACATTCGTCCATCGTTATATTTCAGAAGCGGCAGTAGATGCCCACCGCTAATACCATTTAGCCGAGTTCAAAGGCGGCCGACCTTATTTACTCTCCCCTAAACCTCTAGCTTCTGTTAAATTGGTTCCGGAAACGGAGTTAAACCGGTTTAAACCGATCAATCCGATCAAACCGGTTAGAATTTTGTTGGATAAATGCAAACCAGTTTCAGGTTATGCTCAATCTGATTGGAACCGGCTTGGAACCGATTTATAACTGGTGCAAACTGGTAAAAGAGTTGCCACTCATTCATGTCTTCTTATCAGCTTTGTCTAATCTGGTCCTCAGTCTATACTTAAGGCTATTAGCTGGTGGGTAAGGCGATGATGCCACCACTCGGTCAGCAATTCGTAGTTGAATAACGCTGACCCACAAAAAGTCCGTTGTCCAGAAATTCAACACAACAAGGACTTCCAACTAAAACTGCCTCTCCGACACTAGAAATTCACGTACACAGTTAACAGCATGCTATTGTAAACTGGTTGAAACTAGTTATAAAAATTTACCAAACTGATTGAACCGGTCCGCCTCAAACCGGCATGATCCAAACCGTTTAATCGTTTTCAACAGCTTCGAAACTGGTTCGGTTCAAACCAATGCCATCCCTAAGTGTAGAGATTGGGGAAGTACTTTTTGACTTTGATATGAAGTAATACGAAAAAAAGATCAATACCCCAATTCTTTTAAAACTATCTCACTTCCCTTACCTCTGCGTGAGAAACTTCGGCACGAGTACCAATGCGAACACATCCCACTAGGCTTTTTCATTGACTGCCGTAATACAGCCGCCAACATGGAAGCACTTCCACTCACGCATGCATTCTTCACTGGGTGCAACTCCGGGAGTTATTATCTTCGACTAGCTCACTTCGAAGGTATTCAGCACATCCGTTTTGTAAAGATCACCCCCAATAATTCCACGGCGCATATAGCGCAATAGACATATTCCAATACCGAGGAGGTACATGTTCCGCTATTGGACTACATCTAATGCGTCGAAAACTGCCACCATAAACTGAAGCACGTAGAAAACTACGTGAATTTCGGACCACGTGGGGGGGGGAAACAAATGATGAAACGTTTGCGAAAGCAAAATGGCACTGTGAACTCAAGGTTACCACGTGAAACTAATTACCCAGCATAAGTACCGTGGATTGCACAATGCGCAAGTAAAACACTGAATGTCGCGACGCGGAAAAACAACGTGACCACGATGGTTCCATAGAACCCAAAAATCTCGAATAGTGAAAACACCACCACTAGCAACGGAGCCGTGGAGAGGGAAACCGGCAGCAGGAGGGAGCCATTCAAGACGGCGGAAATCGACCACCAAGCATGGCGAAAAAGTCGGATACAACAAACAACAATGACGCAGACCACCCGACATAACGGGGTACACCTTAGCAGCATATGTAGATCAGGAGAAATGAAACCAGTATTGTCTACATGGTATCCTAAAATCCAACCCGTCAAAGCTCTCGGGCTACTGCACTCAGCGAAAGAATAGGCTGCCCACGCAAACAATGGCAGCTGCCCGAGGACAATTGGTAGTAAAACCACCTGTTTAAGTCCAGGTTTTCTTTCTCAAACAATGTGATGAGCTGCCACTAAAAGAAAAGAAAAAAAAAAAAAAAAAAAAAAAAAAACACTATACCCGTAAAAGACAGAGCTGGTGTAGTGGCAGTGATTGAGTGAAAAAGATTTACAAAGTCAAGAGCAAAAGTATCTGAAAACCGCCGATTCCCGCAAAAATGCGAAATACTAGGCCACCACTCCTAGCCAGCACGACTGGTACCTTCCCGACGTCATCGAATAAAAATCGCCAAGAAAGCTAACTGACAAGTTCTCTCGAACCTTGACAGAGAGAACAATCTGCACTGACCATAAATTCCGAAGACTTAGGCAGTCTGTAGTGAAGTGTAACAAAGCCATTGGGGCAACACAAACATTCGCCGGCGGACTTTCATATGCAAATGCCACATCCAACAGTACACCCGGACAACCGCACTTTGGTGGGTTCAAAAGAACCCGAAACTGATTTTATTCTGTTTTTTTTTGGTTTTTTTCAAGTTTTTTCGCTTCACGTCCCCATAAAATCTGTACAAGGATTTCCCTCCCTATGCTCTCTCTCCCCTGATTCTCCTCGCCAGCTGGATGTCCTTTGGCATGATCGTCACCCGCTTCGCATGGATGGCGCACAAGTTCGTGTCCTCGAACAGACCCACCAGGTATGCCTCTGCTGCCTCCTGAAGCGCCAGCACGGCGTGGCTCTGGAAACGCAGATCGGTCTGCAAATCACACACACACTCTCAGCCCACGACCCGCTGCCACACCATTCCATTCTCACTCCGCACCCACCACCCTTCGCCCCCTCAACACACCACACATCAACGCCCACCTCCTCTCACCAAAACCAACCCCGTCGCGTATCAAACGCGCCCTTACCTTGAAGTCCTGTGCGATCTCGCGGACCAGTCTCTGGAACGGCAACTTGCGGATCAGCAACTCCGTGCTCTTCTGGTACTTGCGAATCTCCCTGCGCACTCGCACACACAACCCTTCCATCAGTTTCACAACCAACACACCCACTCCGCCCCAACTGTCCCCATACAACATCCCCTTCCCACCCACCCACACGCATGCTCCCGTACCCCGACCTCCACTTACTCACCGAAGAGCGACTGTTCCTGGCCGATAACGATGTGGCTTCTTCACTCCTCCCGTGGTCGGAGCCGACTTCCTCGCAGCCTGCCACATGCAATGCCCACCTCGTCACGCACAACACCCTGCCCGCGCATACACGCCCCCTACCTCCACAATCCTCACCCCCCTCCCCGCAAACCCCTGCCCACGCTCACATACGCCTCACTTCACTCCGCACATCGTCCACGCCCACTCACCTTCGTCGCCAGCTGCTTCCTCGGAGCCTTTCCTCCCGTCGACTTACGCGCAGTCTGCTTGGTACGCGCCATCCTGACACTGCCACCACCACATCGCGGTTCAACTTCCCCATTAGCACCCTAAATTTCTCCACTCCAACTTCTCACCTCCCACCCTCGCAAACGCTCATGTCACCCCATCGCCGTCATCAACATCACCGGCACCACTAACAACAACAACAACAACAACAACAAACGCGCAGGTGCCTCCACTTCTCAGCACAACGGTTGACTCACTCCCTCCTCCTCGTCGCAAGTCATACCCCTGCCCATGCTACTCCCCGAACACCACGCCCGACCCTGCAGCCCAACCGCTTCCTGTCCCAAGAACACTCTCACGATTACCTCCCATTCCCACTATCGACGCCACTCACTCGCTCACTCACCCTTCCGAACACGGCCGGAACTATCCACCCTACCACTCCCCACCCCAACACACTCCCGCCTCTCCCTCTCCCTCCACCTGTGATGGGGTTTCCAACACCTACCCCTCCCCTTTCACCGTGGAAAAACTGGACTTACGCATGCTACCTCTAACGCGCGCAACCATCCTCCATAGCAAGAAACGCCATGTTCCGTCCGACACACCTTGCACCACCGCGGCAACGAACCAAACCGCTCCCACACCACCCTAACCGACCAGGGTTTCTGCGGAAATGTAGCTAAATAGAAATATGTGTGTAAACAACAAACCCTCCAACAAAAGCATCGCCGACACGACACGACAGCAAAAACCCGCAAGCCAGAGCCGGAACGCACCTCGGAAAACGATGCGGCGATGTAGAAGAAACGAGAGCACGGACGAACGATCGAACGAACGAACGGCAAGGTGCAAATGAGACCTCAAACACAAACGCACTGAAAGACACACACACACACACGAGGGTAACCAGACAATGAATGGCTCGGTGGAAAAACCAGGGTTCGGAAGGAAGCGTGTCTCGTCTCGAACGATACGCGCCCCTCCTCCTCCCCCGTTCCCACTGCAGGAGAGACCAAGGGCGATCTGGCTCTCTCTCCGCCCTTGGATGCTCCCGCATCCCACGGCCGCGACGCCCTTGTGCTCTCTCGCTCCGCAGGCCCAGGGGTGGTAAAGGGCGGGAAAGTGCTGAGTTTAAGTTCGAATGGGTTGTCGCTTCATCCGTAAATCACTTCATTTAATTGAGAATTCCACACCTTTAGAGCTTTGCATTTTCTGTGTCATCAACAATTGCTTTTTGTGAGAAATACTTTTCCTTTTTATTAAATGTGTTATTTGGATATGTATGTATGTATGTATGTATGTATACATAAATGCATTTAAGTTCCATATTGGCAACCACTTCAATTCAAAATTTAAGGTTGAACTCATGTATATCTAACATACTTATTGTTTTATGGATTATAATGTGAATTGTAATTTATATTAAACAAATTATTCATTTTATAAAACTAGCTTTTAAATTGGGAACAAATTTCATATTGGAAATAGTTGAAAGTGATATCCTATTCTTTTTTGTTACAAAAATACATTTTCCATGCAATAGCTAAACTTTTGAGTAGTTGTAGATCGAATTCTACGTGTTGTTGATGCAAATTGGTAAGAGTTGCATCGTCAGATCAGTATCCAAAATATGGTTGAATAGCATGCAACATGAAACTTCAAACAAAACATCTAACTTATAACACATAATTTACAATATTTTTTTCTTTCAAATTATTTTACAATCTGTCTGAAAATTATACATTTATAATGTCTACATGGCAATAATATTAATACAAAAAGGTACAATTGTTAAAAAGTTAAATAAATTTGTGTTTGTAAAAAATAAATATACTTCCATTTTTCTTACAAAATATATTACATAACACTTGTATGTATTATCACAATATGCTGTATTACATTATTTAAATATTAATATGACGCAAAATACTACATAAAAAGTGATTCAAATATGAAGTCTCGCAAAATACCACCTTATAATCAGCATACTACCTACAACACGTTCAGAATGCAGAGTTCTCACAAAAAAAAGACCGGGAAAAGATAAGATCCTTCGAACCTCCCCATTTGAGTCCTGATAGCACCCCTGGGCCTGCGGAGCGTAGAGAGCACAAGGGCGTCGCGGCCGTGGGATGCGGGAGCATCCAAGGGCGGAGAGAGAGCCAGATCGCCCTTGGTCTCTCCTGCAGTGGGAACGGGGGAGGAGGAGGGGCGCGTATCGTTCGAGACGAGACACGCTTCCTTCCGAACCCTGGTTTTTCCACCGAGCCATTCATTGTCTGGTTACCCTCGTGTGTGTGTGTGTGTCTTTCAGTGCGTTTGTGTTTGAGGTCTCATTTGCACCTTGCCGTTCGTTCATTCGATCGTTCGTCCGTGCTCTCGTTTCTTCTACATCGCCGCATCGTTTTCCGAGGTGCGTTCCGGCTCTGGCTTGCGGGTTTTTGCTGTCGTGTCGTGTCGGCGATGCTTTTGTTGGAGGGTTTGTTGTTTACACACATATTTCTATTTAGCTACATTTCCGCAGAAACCCTGGTCGGTTAGGGTGGTGTGGGAGCGGTTTGGTTCGTTGCCGCGGTGGTGCAAGGTGTGTCGGACGGAACATGGCGTTTCTTGCTATGGAGGATGGTTGCGCGCGTTAGAGGTTGCATGCGTGAGTGCAGTTTGCGACGGTGATGGGGAGGGGTAGTGTTGGAAACCCCAGCACAGGTGGAGGGAGAGGGAGAGGCGGGAGTGTGTTGGGGTGGGGAGTGGTAGGGTGGATAGTTCCGGCCGTGTTCGGAAGGGTGAGTGAGCGAGTGAGTGGCGTCGATAGTGGGAATGGGAGGTAATCGTGAGAGTGTTCTTGGGACAGGAAGCGGTTGGGCTGCAGGGTCGGGCGTGGTGTTCGGGGAGTAGCATGGGCAGGGGTATGACTTGCGACGAGGAGGAGGGAGTGAGTCAACCGTTGTGCTGAGAAGTGGAGGCACCTGCGCGTTTGTTGTTGTTGTTGTTGTTGTTGTTAGTGGTGCCGGTGATGTTGATGACGGCGATGGGGTGACATGAGCGTTTGCGAGGGTGGGAGGTGAGAAGTTGGAGTGGAGAAATTTAGGGTGCTAATGGGGAAGTTGAACCGCGATGTGGTGGTGGCAGTGTCAGGATGGCGCGTACCAAGCAGACTGCGCGTAAGTCGACGGGAGGAAAGGCTCCGAGGAAGCAGCTGGCGACGAAGGTGAGTGGGCGTGGACGATGTGCGGAGTGAAGTGAGGCGTATGTGAGCGTGGGCAGGGGTTTGCGGGGAGGGGGGTGAGGATTGTGGAGGTAGGGGGCGTGTATGCGCGGGCAGGGTGTTGTGCGTGACGAGGTGGGCATTGCATGTGGCAGGCTGCGAGGAAGTCGGCTCCGACCACGGGAGGAGTGAAGAAGCCACATCGTTATCGGCCAGGAACAGTCGCTCTTCGGTGAGTAAGTGGAGGTCGGGGTACGGGAGCATGCGTGTGGGTGGGTGGGAAGGGGATGTTGTATGGGGACAGTTGGGGCGGAGTGGGTGTGTTGGTTGTGAAACTGATGGAAGGGTTGTGTGTGCGAGTGCGCAGGGAGATTCGCAAGTACCAGAAGAGCACGGAGTTGCTGATCCGCAAGTTGCCGTTCCAGAGACTGGTCCGCGAGATCGCACAGGACTTCAAGGTAAGGGCGCGTTTGATACGCGACGGGGTTGGTTTTGGTGAGAGGAGGTGGGCGTTGATGTGTGGTGTGTTGAGGGGGCGAAGGGTGGTGGGTGCGGAGTGAGAATGGAATGGTGTGGCAGCGGGTCGTGGGCTGAGAGTGTGTGTGTGATTTGCAGACCGATCTGCGTTTCCAGAGCCACGCCGTGCTGGCGCTTCAGGAGGCAGCAGAGGCATACCTGGTGGGTCTGTTCGAGGACACGAACTTGTGCGCCATCCATGCGAAGCGGGTGACGATCATGCCAAAGGACATCCAGCTGGCGAGGAGAATCAGGGGAGAGAGAGCATAGGGAGGGAAATCCTTGTACAGATTTTATGGGGACGTGAAGCGAAAAAACTTGAAAAAAACCAAAAAAAAACAGAATAAAATCAGTTTCGGGTTCTTTTGAACCCACCAAAGTGCGGTTGTCCGGGTGTACTGTTGGATGTGGCATTTGCATATGAAAGTCCGCCGGCGAATGTTTGTGTTGCCCCAATGGCTTTTAACATTCGGGATGTCCTTTTTTTGTTGGGTGTTACAATATGTCACCGTGAATTGTTTCTGACGATGTCGAATTGGAATACGTCGGAAATGTAATGAAACAGGAACTGTTTTTGTTTGGTTTTTTTGGATGGCAGTGGTGATGTTGATCAGTTTAGCTTGTTGTAAATTGACGTGTGGCTTGGGTTATTTGCTGTTATGTGTCTCACTTTTCAGTATCCTGATATTGTTAGCATTTAAGAAATTGCCATTGTTTTAATACTGCCTTGTCATTTTGCCTTCCGTGTCTGTTGGAACTGTTTAGATTTGACCAGTGGGTTAGGGTGCTTGTGTTAAGAGTGTCTCTAGTATATGCCATAATGTTTTTAACAAGCTCATTGATTGTACGTTGTACCATGTTCGGATGATTGTTTCTGTTGTCGTTATGATAAATCATGTGTAGACTGGTCACTCGTATATTGAAAGATTTTTTTGTATTTGGAGGCATACTTCTCCTAAGTCCATTGTACATCTTGGATTAATAGTCATTGTTTGTCAAGCTTGGTTCTGTATTCCTCATATCTTTCGAGTTGATATTTTGGATACAAACAGTTGGAAGTTTGCCTGAGCATTTGACTGGCAACACTGGGCACCTTTTTGTGGGCAATGGACTTTTGATACGTGATGACTTGTGGAAACGGTGCTTTCATGATAACTGATCTTTTTGGCGTTATGCATGTCTCAAATAAGCTTCTTGCATTTCTGTAGTCTATTGAAACGTGGGACTGAACTTCTGTAGGTGCTAAATGGTTGCATGTCCTGCATTGTATTGCTAGTGAAGGATCTGATGACTGAGGTAATCAACAACTGAAATGCCAAGATACCCTCACTAGAATTCATGATGAGCACATATTATTTGGCTATTATAGAGCGGAGAAGCCCTGTCTGCGCATGATCGTAGCAGGTGGCTTACTTTCTCCTCTATTTATGAGACCTTCAATTTCCACACATTCGCATGCATGGTAAGGTTTGCATAGTGAAGTGAAAATTAAGTGATAAATTCGAAGGGATATTGGTTAACAATTGTCGCTTCTCTCTTGTGTTCGTCACCCCATCACGACAACTTCCGGCGCTTACATCTGCTGTAAACACTTGTGCCTAATCGGTTTGGTGTTGTTCACGATTTCAGCGCTTGGAAGTGTTTGTACCTTCTGCACGATAGTAGTGGAATCACACAAACTACATTGTCAGCTACCTTCAGTTACAATCAAAGAAGCTGTACGCGGATTTGATGAGCTTGTTCCTGAAAAGTTTAGATTCACTGTTCCTTGAAAATGTAGAATGAACTACCTGCGATTATGCAGCCGACTTAAAGATTTGAATAGTTACTGAGAAAATAGGTGGCGACAAGTGGTAAGTTACCACAACAGAACTCTTTGTCGATGCCAGACACTGAGAGCACACAGCGCACAGCTCTGGCAATCAAGTGCTCAGTAAAGAATTATTGAACTTGTATTGAATTCCGTCACAAGTGAATAAGAAGCTACTCTCATCCCAAGAAAGGTCCTCGCATACTCCCATACTGATGATGCATCCTCAGTAGGAATTACAGTTGCCATTGTCAAAACCAGAAAAAGCAGGTGGGACATATATCAATTTCTGTTTAGAATTGAATTTCACATCAGGACTTCCTTTCTTAAAGAATGTTGAATGAACTGCTTCATTCGAAATTACGAAGCAAATTGGACCACTTGGAACTGTCACAAGCTGTGCACAATAAGACAGCAAAAATAGTATAGTCACGGACATAGCCAAGCTTTTATTGCATGTACGGCGTCACATCCTGAAATCATAATAACGTAGAACTACAACAAGCAAGATCTGCTTGACACTACTGAGAGAACCAACTCCTCTGTGAATTATCTGTAATTACAGGCCACCAATTAACGTCGCATCCCTCAGGATTGTTGCACTCAACTCTCGAATGGGAGCGCTTCGCCATTCCGGCTCCAATACTAACAATCGGGTCCTCATTCCGATCTAGTCCCGACAGAGACTCTCTACCTAATGAGTGCTTGCCGCAGACGGATGAATCAAAAACTATAGCCGAAACACCACAATGGTAGGCGTCCTCCTTAACAAAGCAGCCTGAGTTAGGCTATCAAGGCGTCCAATCACCTCGACCCTCTGTGTGTCCCCAAAACTTCGCAAACTCTTAAATTATATCGCCGAGCTAGCATCCAATAAAGAATCAATCAAACCGCTCCTTCCAACCACCGTAGATGTAGGGCTAACTTTCGAACCGGACTGGAAGAACATGCTGCTTTAGTTGTTCCGATCAGTCGTAAGAAACGACCTGCAGCTTTGTCGATGAAACCTCTCGCACAAGGGAGGCCAATAACAACTTCTGGGTAACCGACTGAGCGAGATACCAAAAAATATGTGGGATGGAGGATGAATAACGCAACATGGCTCTCTACTTAGAGCTTGTACCTAACAAAATGGAGATCTGTGAGGAGTCCCTTTTCTTCTCTTCACAGACACCGGGAATATTACAGACTTCGGCGACGTCGCCATCGACGAAATACGTCCGCTTCGAACTTTCTTGGGCAGCAATTGAGTCGAAGCCGTCGACACAATGCCACAGAATCCTATCCCCTCGCTGCCTGTCGATGCTGACGAAGTATGCGTCGGCGACCCGTCGCACAGTGAGTCCGTCAATAGCTCATCCTCCAACTCGTGTTTCCCACCTTTCAAGCTCCGAGTCGGGGAACATGTGAAGAACGAGTACGGCATGTTGCCGCTCTCAGGCAGAAGTGTTGATAGGTCCTTCCCGCTGCTAACAACGGCATCCACCTTGCATGCCACTGAGCAGTATGCGTAAGAGTCTTGCAGGCTCCTGTCACAAGTACCGCAAGCGTTGCCCAACCCCTTCGACGGACGGGGCTGCGGCCTCTGATTTAGGAACACCACCCGCGCGCTATTGATAATGTACGTCTGAACCGTTGAGCAGTCCAGGAGACGCTGCATATCTTGCAGACGGATCACATCGTGGTACACATAACGACGAATCTGGAGAATACAATGGTTCTGGTGATCAGGAACACAATGCTGACACACACCAGCATTGCAGTCCACACAGAACACATTTCTCTCGTTCTTCTTGAACGCCCCGTGCTTGGCACACGGCACAAAGAACCTCTCGGCCAAGAGAGACTCCAACCAAGCCGGTTTCTGAGGCAGCGCCGACAGGTCATAACCCACCATGGCTGCAAGATAATTCACACTGCACACGACCTGCGAGAGTAGCTCCTAAAGTCCACACTACTCCAGATTCAAGTCCTACAGTGCGAGTGCGAATGGAGTCATGGATGACAGCTGTTCACATAATACTCTTCCGAACAGCCAACGAAGGCTTGAGAAAGCCAATCTTCACACAGAAACCCGTGCAACAGTAGAAATTACACTACAGAACTTCAGGAGAACCTCTCGTATTGAAAGAGTTCACCAAAGAGATACGTTACATTTTCTAACTCCCTTCGCTACTGAAACCGGCACATCAAGTCGCATAACACTACTGGGTCGCCAATTTAACACCCAAACCTTGAATCTCCGAAATCATCGGAAAATGTCGGAAATAATATTCAATGGCACAATTACTTTCTGCACTGGCCTCCGCAAATTTGAATACTAACATCTGATAACGAGGTCAGCAAAACAGCCTGAAAGTTGTCATCAAGCAGAAGTTTGCACCTACGGGCAACGTTGACTCAGACTTACACATTAGCAGTTTCAAAACTCAATTTAGAGTCACGATTCAAGACCGTGTGTATTGATCAACACCTGAAACACAAAGCCAGCTTACAAAATGGTACGCGAACTCCACGGGACGCTGGAATTATCAAAATGAGGCCAGGGTGCAAACGACCACTGCTCTTCAAGATAATTGTGCGCACGGTGCGACTCAAAGGTACTCCGGCCACAATTATTTCAAAAGTGTCAAGGATCGCCTCCAGCTTGAACTCCCCGAAATTGATTCGGCCAATTGTCTCAGATTGGATCTTAGATAGTGCCCACACTCTCCAGGACTAATTACCCCCGAGCAAGACTAGATCTCACCCAACTCAAGCTCGAGCTTCACTGCAAGAAGCGACCAAGCTACCACTCAGCCAGATCTGGTACCACAACTGATAATCCACTCCCAGCCAGCTATTCTGACACTAGTTGCACTGCAGCCGTTGATAGACCCTACCAGGCTGCTCAATCAAACTCTGTGCACATTACAGCTCGGCCTCAGACGACGAAACCTCTTGCTTCCTAACCTCAGGACCTATGGAATCCCCAGTATGAGATCTCTCGTGCACAGCCAAACTGCGAATTGCGCACTCCAGTCAAAATCTGACCAAACTTGAGTCAAAACATACGAAAACACTGTCAGGCCGGACTTAATTCCCAGCTTGCAGTGCACCACTGACGCACATCCAAAACCAGATCGAAAGCTCAATGTGACTCTCGAACTCACTCACTCCAACACGCTGGAAACAGTGTGAAGCTGTGTACTACAGCTTGGCTAAATCGGGGGGGGGGGGGGTCGGAGAGAGAGAGCGCCAGCAGGAGGTGAACAAATGAGCAGAGCGGAGCACGGAAGTCGGGCGATGAAGGGGACGACCAAGGACGATTGCCCCAAGTGCGGCGCGGCGAAGACTATGGCAGCGGCGGCGAGGTCGGGTGGCGCAGGGCGGGAACGCTGAGCTCCCAAGCCCCCCCTCCTTCTTTCGTCTGCCCGTCTGCCCGCCGAATAAACTTAAGTTCTCCCCTCACCCAGAATTCGGTAACCAGCCAGCGTAACCTCCCGCAAAGCCGGGACGGGTTGCAGGAGAGTAGAACGGGCCGGGCCGGACGAGTGGTCAGAGGCACCGTTGCCAGGGCTGCTCTCACTCATTCATTCATTCATCCATGTGTGACGCATGTGGGCCTGAGCGGACTTTCATGTGTAGAGATCAAGTCTTTATGAGTGCCTCTGCCCCCCTTCCATAACCCTCCCCAACCTCCCTCCACCTTTTGTTTTTCCATCATGCCCCTACTCCCCAATTAACTAGACAATTTGCTTCCTGTCTCAGTGCACAACCTCACTTATCACTGAATGCAGGCAACCCAAGTACCAATCCCCTTTTTCCCACTACTGAATAGATAACACACACTTGCCCTTTTTTTTCACATGAAAATGGGTGACTTGCCATGGAATCTATTGATGTGGGCTTCCTTTTACTTTTTTAGTCTGTTCAAGATTGTATGCTCATTGGCATTGTCACATTTTGAAACTGTTCACATCAAGCATATCACCTTTTTCTTTTTTATACCCCCATGGGTGCCAAAAATCTGGATGTTGGATTTGAAACTGGTCGTTCTAACTGTTTAAATATACAGTGTGGGTGCAGTTACTTTGATATTAAACTATGTTTTGAATGGCATGTTTAGTGGTAATTTCAATTACATATGTGGGAATTTCTACCTGTTGAATTGAAGAGGAAACAAATTCAGTGTACAATCTGTCAGCATGGGTATGTTTTTCCATCAGCCTAAAATATTTTAACAATACCCAAATAGAATAGGCAAAAGTTATAGAATTGGTTTGTGCCTCTTTCAACACATGGTAAAGCAATTTGTACTACAGTTTTAGGTTTAGTTTGAGTTTAGGTTTAAGTTTGTTCCTTCTTTGTTTTTTACATTTCTTTATTTAAAAAATTACATTCATTAGGTCTGTATGACTTGATGCATATATGTTGGATTTAAAAAATCTGTTTCAAAATTTATTACAATATTCTTGATCTAGGAATGATGTCACATTTTGATTCATCACTCATGAAGTTACAAACACATGTTTTCATATGAATAACCTATATAATCAAAGGAAATTTTTTTATGTGTGTTTGCAACCTAACATCCCCCCCATCATCATTTATTCCTGTAAGAAGTCTTAATCTTGCCCATTAATAATCCCAATAAAATGATCACAGGTTACTCTTTCACATCAAGAACAGAATAAATCATAAATGAAAGTAAATGTTACATGAAGAATTGCAATAATGAATTGATACCCTTCCACACTCTACCACAACCATAAATATACAACATGTAAATAATATAATGCTCTCAGTTCAATTTCAAATTCCATAAGATAGAATATTGAACTTCTTTCTTTCTTGCCTTCTCTTAATTCTTGTCAGTTTCATCCTATACACACACATACATACTTTTTCCTCTTTTTTTCTTTTCTTTGTGGCAGACCAAAATCCAGGAGAGCATCCTTGTGTGGTGAAAGAATGATCACATTCCCCTGTGCCCTGGGCAGATGCAGTATTCCACATCATTGTTATCATTCCATCAAAAAGGGGGAAAAACAAAATTATATATATATATATAAATTTTAAAACCAATTAACTTTTCAAATTACCCTGCCCAAACAAATAATAATTCTCAATGATGGGTTGGGGTGAGCCCATTATGCAAAGCAGACACAAGACTACCAGCAAAGAAAATATATGTTCCCAAGACCTCCCCATGCCACCCATATCTTCATTGGAGAATGGGGGGCTGGCCAAGGACCAAAGCAGAATGAGGCCAAGCAAAATGTAGAGGGGGGTGAGGCCAGCAAAAAAGAAATTATTGGACCCATCTCACAGATTTCATGGAAACTGGACAGAAACCCTAACCTAGCTTTGAAATATTCTCAGGAAATGGGCAGTTTTTAGCCACTGTCTGAGTAGACTGTCGTCAGTAGGGATCCAGCTTGCCAACTGGCACACACTATTAAAAGTACCCAACTTCTGGAGACAATGCTTTGTTTAGGTCACCCAGATCCCCCTTTTCTCTTCTTTCTATTTCGTCACCTCTGCCAAAATACAATTCAATGGGCTCTCTCTCAGCAACTCACCTTCAGCTGGTTTTGCTCATTGTTTGTGTGTGAACCCAACCTTGATAGCTCCTCTTTGCACACAACCCTCCCACTATCCTTTGCATCAGTGCCTTTATGTGATGTTGCTTGTAAGTAATTGATACTTGGAACAAGTGCATCAAGAAAGAAAGAAAGAAGAAAGAGAGAGAGAGAGAGAGAGAGTAAGAAGAAGGAAAGGTAAGGGATACAAAAACAAATGCACACTTGATAAAGCAATGCACATTTATGCAGCATATTGTATGCAAACAACTCTGCCATGTGTATTTAGGTGTATTTCAATAGATATTTCAAAAATGAATTCAGTATAACAGTTTTGGAGAGTTGCATCTTTTAACATTTGTACAAAAATAATATCTTACAAGTTCAACTTGAATGTGTGACTCGATCAGCTTAATGAGTATGTACATACTTGTGTTTTTTTTTTTTTTCTAGATTCAAACTAATTTAATCTGCAAACATGATTGGACTATTTATAAAATGATATAATTACTAGGAACAACAAATTACAATTGATACTCCAGTATTTTGTTTTTTAAGGGTACATCTTAAATGTTTTGTTAATCACTGAAATGATTGCAGAGTTTTACTACAATTTGTAGTTGGAGATTAAATTGAATGAATCATGAACTTGGTATATTCCACAAATTAATCTAATAAAAACTTTTCAACAATTGGTATCATGATACTTTTTTTTAAAGTACACAACTGTCCCTTACAGATGATTCAAATTTCAACCTTATATTTCAAAATCATTCCTTATGGTTTTAATTAAGCTATTCATCTCCCAACAGATTCATATTACAACTCCATAGTTTATGGTAAATTAAGCACCAGTTGTAACATATTTTGCCATGTCGGATGCATCTAAGTCATAGTATGAAATTGACAGCCTAAAACAGACAACTTTTTTTTTTTGTCCACATCTTTAAAAATCAACTACAAGAAATGTACCCACAGAACCCTCTCATGTACGCATGATATTCAGTATAGTTAGTTGTCCACCATTTGCAAATGGCAACACTTCCATTTTGGAACATTTGCAAAGACTTCTACAACATGAAGTTTTTGTGGGTCATAACAAAATGCATTAAAACAACAGTTACTTTTGTGAACTAAATCTCTAAGCAGGGACAAAAATGAAGATACGGAAGAAAAAGAAAGGGAGAAGATATTTTTCCCCAACTGTATTTTTGTTTTAATGGTATATGTCACATGCTTCTGTTAGGATTGGGACTTGATTTGTTCCTTTGTGGGTTAGTGGGGTATTAAACGGCAAATCCCTAGTGGTGCTAATCCAGCTTGTCTGGAGTTGGTTAAACCATGTGATCCTGCACCCACCCAGTTTACTTTTTTGACTGGTATAGTTTGCAAATGCCATGTCACCATGGAAGGGGATGTGGAGACCTATCTGGGTTCAAAGACAGATTAGGTCATCCTATGACCGTCCATGGTGTCAGGCCCTTATTCCCTTTATTTTTTTGATTTTATTTATTTATTTATATTTTTGTCCCAAAGGTCCCTGAGAAAGTGGGAGCATGGGCTCTCTTTGAATTTGAATTCAAAATTTGAACTTGAGGAGGATGCAGTTGGAATCTCCATTGGACTTTGGGAATTGCAGCTGAGCACACTCCAAGCTAGTTGGGAGTTTGTTGGTTGTGTCTGTACACACAATGTGCCCTTTTGTGTGTGGGTTTGCAGGTTGAAAGGTCTCGTTGTCTGAAGAAAGTTAACGAGAAGGAAAAAAGAAGAAAGGGAACAAATGAAGGATAAACACAGGAAGGAAGAAAGAAAAGATTTTTATTGTTTACAACTCCCTTTGGATTCAAAAGTATGTGATTGGATTGATCATGTACAAAGAACAAAAACATCAACAAAATGTATCCAAAATGAAGAGGTAAGAGTAAATTACAGTGGTGTATAATTTAGACAAAACAGTATATATATATATATATATATATATATGTGTGTGTGTGTGTGTGTTCCTGCTTACATACATCCACTAGTACATATCCTAATTGTGTTTTACACAGTGTGCAAAAGATCTGATTATTATGTTAATGGGATCTTTTTGCACCGTTTTATTAGTATTTTTACTTGGGCTGTTGAGTTTCTCACTATTTCATGATATTACAATTTTCAGAAATATATAATAGTAAAGTCACACAGACTAGACCTTTCTCCATAATCACTTTGTAACTCATATGCAATGGTTGATCAAGCAATTACCTTGGTGTGCATGAAATTTCATTGCAACATATTGAAAGCTGTAGGGAAGCTGCATGTGTGAATATAACAAGGTAGAAGCAAATGTAAGTTTGAAATTTATAGCATTCTTCTATGACAAACAAAACATAGTTAAATGAAAAATTTAATTAGTAATATTTTTTGTAAAATATAAATTATAAAAAATACTATGATTTTTACAAGTACATACAATCACTAACTTACCATTAATAATAAACGAGATGTGTTAAATTACATAAAATAAATACAGTACTTTTTATTAATTATAATATTTGATTAATCTTGAACATTCTAGAGCTTTAGGTAATCCTAAAAAGACCACGTTATACGTTTACAAATTACAGGTAAGATTTCAAAATGTAAATTACCTACATTAAATTTATGAAAACTTACCTTGTCAAACAGTCTCTGAAAAAATAAAAAAATAAAACATTTAAAGAAAAATAGTTTTTCACCAGTATACAATCATGTAAATATGAATAATGTATGTATATTATGATCTGAATGATTGATAAAAAGAAATAGAGT